AATCTATCAGCCTGGGAGATCATTTTGACAAGCCAGTTGCTGCAGCTTCACAACTAAACATTTGGTTGAGTACAGCTGAGAACTCAAATGCTGCTGCCTGTAAAGACGCAGCAGCAAGCCCGGGCCATTCATGAGCAACCTGATCTAATGCCATTAGTGACGCTAGTGAGTGGTGCCTTCTATTCTCATGAGGATGTGTATGCCATGGGGTGTCTCCACCCCCCCAAGAACACTTTCAGTATATAATATAGCTCACACCAGAGAGGAAGGGGTTAATTAACAGACACAGGCTCAAATTGCCCTGCCCTGTAATACCTGTTGGTGGGTGTTAGGTTAGGCCTGGGAGCGGGGGATTTAAAAGGAGGGGAGTCAGGTAATGGCCCGATAGGGAGGGCATGGAGGTTGCTCCTATGTGGAGTAAGAAGCCTGTTTGGGGCTAGGAGCTGTCTGGACACTGCATTATGCCTGAACCCACTGGTAGAAGGGTGGGCCTGAACCATATTGTTGGTGTGATTGAAACCCAGGAACCTGATATTAGACCAAGACATTGCAGCTGGGGGCTTGCCTGCCAGGAAGGGGGCTGACAGCTGAGCTGGCTGGGCTGAGGATGGTTTTTGTTTGGTGTCTCTAGTGGATTTTGACTGAAGGACTCAATTACCCTGGAAGGGGTGGAGCTCTAAGCTGGAGGACTAAGCCACATCTATAGTGGAAGTGGTCTGAATAGCATGTGGGGAAACTGAGGCAAAGCTGCTGCATTATACCATGGGAAGGAGGTGCTGGGATGGCACCTCTGGTATAAGGACTCAGTTAACCAGTCAAGATGGAAGCAGTAAGAATTGCTGTTATGCTTCAAGATGAACTTTGTTGCAGAACAAAGATTCTTTCTTTGCTAGCAATAGAGATTATTTTAAAAGCTAGTGGAATTCTTTGTTCCTCTTACTTTACCAAGCATCAAGGCTAACAAACATTTCTCTTAGTTAAAAACATTCCTCAGCTAGATATGCAGGCACAGTAGTTCAGTTTTCTTCAAAACTGTGGGTTAACTGTAACACAACAAATCTTTATGGGGGGGGCTCTAAACTGGGTCAGGAATTCTACAATGTTGAAGAGAAAAGGACTTTTAGGGTGACTCATGGACAGAACATGTTAACGAGGGGACTCTGCTGTGAGTTGCCTTAGAACTTATTGTCACTTCTAATTAGTGGCTTGTGCAGTGATAATCCTAGTGGCTATGTTACAATATCTATTTACTGACACATTTTTGGTAAAGGATTGGAATTATACAGCTATTCCAGAGAGAAAGACCTTCTGTAGCAATGTTTCATTTACATTTCATTAATCATTCCCACACCGCCCATAGCTGGACAGGGTGCTTTGCGGGCTAATAAAAGACACAGATAGCCCTTGCCCCCCAGTTTTATTTTGCTGTCTTTATTGCATTCTGCAGAAGCCCTTGGTGGATACTAGACACATAAAGAAGGGTCAGACTAAGAGCTGTGGAGACAATGATGTCCCCCTAACCAGCTATAGGGAATGTTCATGGGTAAGTTAATGTTGATCCAGTCAGCATTAACTTGACCCATGTTTCCCACTCTGATTGCTGGACTCTTCCTTTAAGGAGGATTCCTAATCCAGCAGCCGGTGAAGGAACCTGGGGACATTCAGAGGGAGCAGCAATAGATAAGAGCAAGAGCGCCGCCAGCTTTTCTGCCGCCCTAGGCAGCGGAAGGTCCCGCCCCGAAATGCCGCCCCCCACAGAGGCGGCAGAAGGTCCCGCCACCGAAATACCATCGCGGTCTTCGCCCCCCAAATTGTAGCGCCCTAGGCGACTGCCTAGCAGGGCCGGCTCCAGGCACCAGCCTAGGAAGCAGGTGTTTGGGGTGGCCAAGGGGAAAGGGCGGCACATCGAGCTGTTCGGCGGCAATTCGGCGACGGGTCCCTCTCGGAGGGAAGCACCTGGCACCGAATTCCGGCCGAAGAAGAAAGCGGCGCGGTGGAGCTGCCGCTGGAGTGCCACCGATCGCAATTGCGATCGCAGCTTTTTTTTTTTTTTTTTTTCTGCCGCTTGGGGCAGCAAAAACCCTGGAGCCGGTCCTGCCGCCTAGGTCGCCTAATGGGTTGTGCCGGCCCTGGATAAGAGCCAGTATGTAGGACAGGAACTTTGATCTGCTTCATTGGGTGGGGGGGCGAGGGGGGGCCAGAGGGACAGACTCCTTTCTTCTTCTGAAAGGAGAAAACTCTGACCCTGAAGTATGTGCTAAGATTGCAGGACTGGGTCCTTGGTTGTATTTTGCTGATGGTCACATATCAGCATGATGGGCCAAATTCTCCTCTTGGTTATATTGATTCAGCTCTGTTGAAGTCACTGGTGCAACCTGAGTGTAACTTGGAGAACAGTTTGGCCCAGCAAATCAAATCCCAAGATTTGTACTTGCCACTCCCCTTATCTGCAGTGCAAGTTGTGGGTACTGAGCAGCTTAGGATTTGGTTCATTGGGTCTAATCCTGCATCCACTGAAGTCAATAGCAAAACTTTCATTGAATTCAGGGTGATCAGCACTGGGTCACTGTTTACAAATCTTATAAGGAGCTGCTGTTCTGTGGTTGGTTCAGGGATTCCTTCTCAACCCTGAGATTCCCTGATACGCTACAGATACTTGGGTTGTGGGAGGATCCCTGCAGCACTCTGATTTGCACAGCCTGGCTACTCAGACCAGACATAGTGTTTGAGTCCAAATTAGTAAATGGCAACATTATCTCTGAAAGGCAGGTTTCATTAGCTACCAGGGAGCTCTCTTTTCTCAGAGTTGCTTTTAAATATTTAAAAACATAATTGCCCATTATTATGGAATTTTCCTAATGTGAATGTTTAAATACTTACAGAGGGGGATATTCAGAACCTGTCATTGTTTCCACTCTCATTAGTGCTTACTTTGAAAGACATTTGATACTTTAAACACTGGAATCCTGTGTTGGTCTCCCCAGTTGTCCCAATAATAATGTTGAAATGCTTGCAAGAGCATTTCCAAAGCTCAGGCTTAGATGTTCTCAATTTTCCTAATTATGGGCTAGCTCAGCCCCCTCAGTGGAGATACCCAGGGGGTGAAAGAAAAACTCTGCCTGGTGAACCTTGACTTTCTTCCAAGCATGAACTTCAACTGGAAGAGGCAGTGAAGAATGAATGGGGAAAATCGGGATTGTTGACTTCAAAGAGGAGACAGGTAAGAGGGGATGTGATACAGGGATATGGTATGTGAATGGGGCAGAGAAAGTAAATCAGGTACACCCATCCTCAGAATACAAAAAACAAGGGGACATTCAATGAAACTGAAAGGCTACAGGTTTAAAACTGAGAGACCTTAGCAGAATTCAAAGAATATTGAACATGTCTGTTTAGATTGTAAACTCTTTAGGACCGGGACTGTCTTCTTCTGTGGTTGTACAGCACCTAACACAATGGGGTCCTGGTTCATGACTTGGGCTCTGACGTGCTATTGCAATACAAACAAATCATAATAATTAATCTATGGATTACAAGGGTATCCACTCACGATAGTAAGAATTAAAAAATAGAAACACAGAACCAAGACTTTGGAAGGGATCTAAAACCTCATGCTTCAGGACATAAGGACAGCTTCTAAGTAATGGAGTCCGGAAGAGACTTTCCCTGTGTGACGGTTATCCTACAACTATCCACTGCAGGATTTCTTGCACCATCTTCTGGCACTGTCTGAGATGGGACTCTAGTCTCATTCACCACAGCAAGTCATTAGGGCCATTAGTGGAAAGAGCTTGAGTGAATTGTAATCTTTCTATTGGATTTTTTTATAGGATTCTACGGGAATGATCTCATTCTCGGTTACATTTTATAGATTTTCACAGCCATTTCTGTAGACCTCTACTGATTTCGTCCCCATAACATTTTATAGGAGTGAGGAGATACCACAGAAAACTTTACTCTAAGGTTTAGCAGCCTCTGATATGCAAATGGGAGAGAAAGGAGGAAGAGGAACAGTTCTTTTTCCAAGAAAGCAGAGGATCAAAACTCTTAAATGACTTTTTTTTAAAAATAAGACCCAGATTGGTCCTTTTCCGCTATAATGGATAGATATTTTCATCAGTTTGTGTGTGCGCAGTGAAATTGACATTCACAGATAAGTCTAATATTTCCAAGCCTAGTTATTAGGACACTAAACTAGGGGAACCCATCAGAGGAGAATGAGAGTTCTGGCATAGCAGAGATCTACATGCAATGCTTAATTTGTGCCAGGGCTTAGCCCTGGCACCTCTAGACTGGGCAGGTCATATCCCGGCACCTCTGGGCTTGCCAGGTCAATTATGAAAGTAAAATAATCTGCTTGCGCCCTGGCACCTCTTTCATTACAAATTAAGCTCTGTCTACACTCCAGTGCCCAGACCCAGATGATGCCACAGAAACCTGAACTCGCCTCCACCTGGTGGGCAGAGTTTTCCCTTTGCGCCCCCCCCCCCCGGCACCCCCGCCTGTATGGAAGTGATTGCGACGGGGGAAGAACAGAAATTTCCATCCTTGTGCAGAGAAGGGGAGAGGGGCAGACAGAAATAGGGTGACCCGTCAGCAAGTGTGAAAAATCAGGACAGGGGGTGGGGGGTAATAGGAGCCTATATAAGAAAAAGCCCCCCAACTTGGGACTGTCCCTATAAAATCGGGCCATCTGGTCACCCTAGACAGAAACCGCCACCCACTTGTGGCGAGGCAGTGACTGGTTCCCACCCCGCACCCCTCTCGCCCAGCCTACAGCAGCAGCTGGCGTTGACAGGAGCTCGGAGCGCGGGCGTGCTGGGGGGGCGTGTAGACGGGATTGGTTCTCACACGCTGGTTGGCGTGTGTGGCTGAGCCGCCGGGCTGGCTGATTGGGCCGGCTGCAGCCCGCCCTCTTTGCCCAGCCCGCCCGGAGCCGCTTTGTCCGGGTGACAGCGGCTCCCCAGAGCAGAGAGCGGAGCAGCGGGCGGCGGGTCGCCGGCTCAGTGGCTGCGGCAGTGCACAGGGGGCGGGGGCAGGAAAAACGAGCCCCAGCAGGTAAGGTCAGGCGGAGGCTGCCGCTTACTGACTTTCAGTCTGTCCGGTGCCCTTGCAGCGTGGGACCCCCCCGGGGGTAGCCAGTGCCAGGAATACCCCCCCTGGAAGGGTATTCCCCCCCCCCCGCCCGTTACATAACATCCCCGAGGGATGCTGTCACGGGGGGCTAGGGAGGGACAGTTTCCTGCTCTTCCTTGGGGTGGGAGGAGAATGAAATCCCGCTTTGCCCCAGGCGGAGGCGGTGTCGCTGGCGGGGGGGGGGGCAAGAAATGAATCGTGCCCGGCGCTTGGTGTCGCGGGTTGGGGGGGATCAGTCATTTTCATGTCACTGCTCCGATGGGGGCCCCCTCGGTGCCCACTGACACCAGCCCCTTGCAGGGGCGTTCTGAACCTCCACTGCTTAAAGGGGGCTGGAAAACCCTGTATTTGTGGGTGTGAGTGGGTGGGTGGGTGTGGGTGGAGGGGGTTCCTATCATCATCTGGGAGCAGCGACTTAAGCAAGCCAGGAGGGAGCCACTCGGGGACCCAGCTCAATTTTTTTCGGCTGGGTCTGTGACACCCCCCCTCGTGTGATTTTTTCCCCCCCTCCCTCTGCACACACATCAAGCACTGCAGACTTCACAGGACAAAGCCACCCTGTGCTGTCGAAAACGTTTTGGGGTAGATTGTGAGGTCTTTGGGGGCAGGAACCAGGTATTTTGGGGGCTTGTGGAGTATTGAGTACAGCCTTGGCATGTTGCAAATACGGGGAGGGGTGTTTGGATAATTCAAGGGGAGGGGGCCTTGCTGTGGAGTTTGGAGATAAGTTACTTATTTGGGGATTAAAGGCGGAATTGACAAACGAGGGAGTGTCTCATGTTGGGGTGTAGGGATGTAAATAGGATTTGGATAAAAGACCAAATATGGGAGACGCTCAATGAGGTTCTGCTGTGCTGGATTAAACATCTCCGCTCACCAAAAACCAATGGAAGTTAAGTGACAACAAACCTGTTCTGATGGCTTTGTGTTGCTTCAAAGTGTGGAAGTACAAAGAAACCTGCATCACAGGCTCCTCACAAAGGGACTCCCCTGTTTTAAGAGACCACTATAAAGACAGCCCTAGGATTCCACTACGGTTTTATCTGATCTCTAGTTAACGGCCATCTCTCCTCAGCAACCAATTTTCTCCTGGATCCATGAGTAGTCGTTTAAGAAAGGTTTCACTCCCCATCACCTTCTAAGTTTGTGTCCATAAACTCCTCATGCATTTATTGTTTTTAGTAACTAGATTAAAAATAAAAGTGACAGATTCTATAATGTTTCTATGGATTTGTTAGCAGGGCTTATATTTCACATTTTAGATTTTCATAGTCTTCTATAGCTATATATAGAAAAATAACTTGCTCCAGTTTTGTTTGTTCATAGAGGTTGCTCTGTGGAATAATTAAGCATTGTTCTTTTAAAATTATAGCATTAGTCCCAAGCAACTCTGTTGCTTCAGTAAACATACAAAACCAGTAAGAATAAACAGTATGCTTTCACAGTGAATACAACATCATCCTTTGAGAGTCTGAGGTCTAAGACCATTGTGCTGATGGGAAATTGTCACAGGAATAACCTTCTGTTTTGCTCAGTGGATGGTTACTAAGTGGGAAAGATGTCCATATGTATTGTAAACTTGGCTTTGTGGTTTCTTCAGTGCAGTAAGAACTGAGGATAGATGACCCCTCCCTTACCTCAGTTTGAGGAGGCTGGGGCCCATCTGACTAATGTATTTTATTCTGTGTTCTGCCAAACAATGTGCTTGGCTGGCTGGTTCTTGCTCATATGCTCCTGGTCTAACTAATTGCCATGTGTGGGGTCAGGAAGGAATTTTCTCCCAGGTCAGATTGGCAGTGACCTTTTTTATGCCTTCTTCTGCAGTATGGAGTGCAGGTCACTTGCCAGGATTACTTGTGTATATCTCATGTAATCATTTCCTGCTATTGCAGGGGCATTGGTGCGCCTCAGTACCTCCTATTCTCTGCCCGTGGCACTCAATAGTCTAGTCTCCTGTGGGCTGTAATACCATGGCCTAATTTTGGTTGTTGGGTTTAGTGTACAGGTGGTAGGTAGTGATGATGGCTTGTGATATACAGGAATCAGAGTAGATGAGTACCTTCTGGTCCTAAAATGTATGGCTCTAATGTGGGCTCTATTTGTATCCTGGGTTTTGGTTTGTCCCCACCTGTATTAAGAACACTGATGGTAGCACTTTTAACACTGATATGATGGTGCCTGGTTTGTAAACTTCTTCTATGCACCAGCCATGACATCTATAAAGAAAGTTTCTCCAAACTCTTTATATTTCCAATGGCTTCAGTTTTTAATTTCCAAATTGTAAGGAAAGTGCGATAGAAACAAGACTGCCTGGATGGTTATCGTTCAATAAGATTGTCTTGAATTTCTTTTCTTAAAAATACGATTTATTAGCTTTACCTTTTCACCATGTGTGTCCGTATCAATATTTTAAAAAAGCAGAGCAAAACTACAGTCCTGATCCCACAATGTGATGTGCAGACTGTGCACCCAAGCAGATCCCATTGGCTTAAAAGTTCTGTTCTATTGGTTGTCATGCCATGTCCATCACCATGGAGTCTGAATATCTTCTAGAGGTTCATTAAGCAAGGTGGATATCATGTGTGGTTCTCTCTCTTTCTCTTTGTGGTGGCAGTTGGGAAGAAATGTGTGAGGACTGGAGCCACTCATAGGCCCCAATTCTGCAGTACAAAACTTATCGGTATTATTTTACAGCTGTCCTGCATGAGGTCACTTGCACTCCAGTGCGAAGTGCCATATGGGCAGTGTGTCTTGTATGTGGGTGTTTTATTAAATGTAGCCAATGGAAAGAGAAGCGTAAAGGCTCATTGAAACTAATTAGAAGCCAGGTCTTCATGAAAAATTACTACAAATGAATAAAAGTGAATGGCCCCTCTGGATGTTAAAAACTCCCCAAAATTGTCCCAAAGGCTCAGCTAAACTTAACAGAGCCAGAATTTCCCTGGAAAGGATTAGGGAAAAAAGGGGTTTGCATCACTTTAAAAAAAAAAAAAAGTCCCTCTGTCTCATCCTATAACTTCACCACTTTGTCAGAGGGAGAGAGAGGGGTGTTGCTTTCTCCTCTCCAAGGAATGATTTGAGTGCTCTCTACATTTTAGACATTTTTATTGCCACTAGAGGGAGCCATGATAAACCTGAGGGTGATACAGGCTATATTGCTTCATTGTCTGCAACAGTCCATTCCTTTTGTCACTTGGCGTCCAATTCGGCTGTCTCTGCTTAGGTAAAAGTTCCATTGGAGTCAACAGAAGTGTTGCCATGGTAGGGATTATGGGATTGGGATTTTGGTGTAATAAAGATATACAAAGGCAAGTTCTCCAGTGTTGGTCTAACTTTACTCCTATTGCAGTCAATGGGAATTTGATTTAGGCCTGCGCTCACGTGTCTGGTAAAATTCCCATTGACTTTAATGAGAGCAGAGTTAGGCCAACGCTGAGTGCATTTGAAATTCCCAGAGAGATTGCTAATGTGTCTCTAGTGTCCTGGGACCAACCTGGCTACAGCACTGCAAACAACGCTTTGAAAATCTCACACACAGGGCCTGAAGATAAAACTGCCATTGACTTCAATGGGAGCAGAAATGGGCCCTTTGCTCTTTGCTCATTCCTTTTAGATATAAGACTGCAACTTCTGGTTTATTTTTGGTTTGTTTTCCTATTTTTCTCATTTTCTGTGGAATTAGTTTTCCCACAAGGTTTGCATCTATTTAGTATTATTTAGTCACTTGCAATTTTGGTTATATTTAAACCTTCTTCATTAGTAGCATTTTGTTCTGTTATTCTATTTTTAGTTATGTAGTTTGTCATGGCTGGCAGCATTAGTCCAAAAAAAAAAAAAAAAAAAAGAAATGCTTCCTAGTAGTTTCAAGAGATCCGTAGTTGTATCTTGAAGATGTACCCAAGGGACCTTTTAAAAACTCTTCTAAGACAGAAAAACAGTTTCTAAGGAAATACATTATTAGTTTCCATAAACATAGTGTAGAAATGGATATATAAATGGTGGTAATTGAGTCCCCAATTCAGCAAAACATATGCTTAAGTCCATCCCTATTCAGCAAAGCATATAAGCATGTGCTTAACTTTAAGTGTGTGCTTAACTGCTTTACTTCAGGGTCTAATTTCATAATAATATATACTTAAATGTATTTTCAGTCTTTGACTAGCAAGTCATTCTCTGATGTCGGAATGCCCCTAGTGGCAATTCCAGTAGAATTATTCAACTGGTGTCTATTGGTTCCTGCTGGCCTCTACTGATTTTGCTGGAGAGCCATTAGTTCCAGGAACCAGTATACTATCTAAATGCTTAAATAGATCTACAACCTAGTTGCCAGAAAGAATCAGCAGAGAATTTTCAACTAGAATTTCAATTAGGGCTCAGGAAAGTGAGGATTTTGGCTGATATAATCCATCTCGATGCTGAGGGCCTTCCAAGGCCGGATTAAGACCTTTAGAGGCCCTAAGCACTGAAAAGATTATGGTGCCCCCCCCATATGTAATTCAAAATAAAAACAATACTATACCGTAAAATAAAATTTTATTTTTCGAAATGACACACAACTTACATGTATGCTGAAATTAAAATAGCTTCTTTCTAGTTTTTCTGATTGCAAAATTCTGGATAAGTTCATAGAAGCTGACTCGACGAAGCATTTCCGCTTCCATGCACAATAGGAAAAGTGAATCAAGTCTGTCCTGACACATTGTTGTTCTCTGAGGGTTTTTCATTATTTTCAGCTGAGAAAAAGAGCATTCTGCGGAGCAGTTAGTAATCATCAATGTTAGAAAAATACATTGTATTCCGTCTTTCAATATTGTGTCATGAAGATCAATGTGACTGAATTTCATTTTTCCTGTTTCATTAAATTTTGCGCACATATAACAGTGGAACTGCTGTACTTCTCCACAGAGATTCATGTTCAAGTC